GCAGGAATACGCGTCCAGCGTGCGCAGGGCCGTGCAGTCCGGCAGCGTCAACCTCAAGGACCGGCTCACCATCGAGCTGCACGGTGAGCCCCCCGGCACGGGGCTGGAACCGGAGGCCTCTCCGGTCGCGGCTGTTCCGCGGCTCCTCGGGCCGTGCCGGCACCGGCTTTGCTGGACGCAGCTGCCCGCGGGGAGGCCGCGCAGCCTCGGCGGCCGGAATGGGCCCGGGGGAAAGCGGCTCTGGTTTGTGCAGCCGCCTCTGCTGTGGAAGGGCCTGTTGACCCTACACGCTCCCCAAAGTGCGATGGAGCCTCCCGGCCATGCTGAGCAGCCCATCTCCTCCCCGTGAGGCCACCCAGCCTCAGCAAACCCCTGTTGGCCCCGTCCTGCCGATTTCTGCAGCCTCAGAAATGGGTGTTTTTATCTCCACTTCCTGCTCCCCATCAAAAAGGCTCGTGATTCTGAGGCGAAAATGTTAGATCAGGTGAAACATCAGCCGTAAAAACCCTGGAAGTTATTCAGAGCCCAAATGGGCAGCATTCTAGGCTGCCTGCTCTGCTCGACCTGCTTGAGCAGGGGGCTTGGGCCAGGCCATCTCCAGAGCTGCTTTCCAACCCCAGCTATTCCGTGATCCAGTGAGTGAGGGGCCCCAGGAGAGGGTTCTCCTCGCTCATTCCCAGGCATGAGACGGTTCTTGCTCCATCTATAGGTGCAAAACCCACCAGTCTGCCCAGAGACCACATTCCTAGAAGCATTTTAAAACTCCTTTGATTGCCCACAAGTGAAACTGCACAGACCTCGCATTTTCCTAATTCCTCCCTGTAAATTATTCTCCTGTGTTTCTTTTTTTCCCGGGAATATAAGGCTCTGTTTTGCTGCTAGCGAGCCCTCTACAGCACTGACTTCTCCTTTGGCTTTCCACAGCGGATGGGCGCCATGGGATTGTCCGTGTGGATCGGGTTCCGCTGGCAGCCAAGCTGGTGGATCTGCCCTGCATCATTGAGAGCTTGAAAACCATCGATAAGAAAACCTTCTATAAGACAGCGGATATTTGCCAGGTACGAGCTGTCCTTCATAGCTGCCGTTTGTCAGGAATGACCCTTCTCCAGGAAAATTCCAGGATGCTTTGACAGTGTTAATTTCATAACAAGGCTTGTTTCTGTATTCTCACAATATTGCCTGTTTAAAATTCCTGCCTGGTATTTGGGAGTCTCCCTTTTCCGAAGCATGAAATTCTACTGTCCTTGTAACAGCTTAGCAGCAGCTGTGCATAGCCATGAGCCAAGCTGGCTGGAAAACATTGTTTTTCTCATCCCCTCATGCGTGTCAATCCTAACTGCATGGAAAGTCACTGTTCATTTTCCTGAGAAGCTTTTTACGGCCCTTGCGTGGCCGTAGCAAGTTTTGTGTTTATGGGGGGCTTCCAGATGCTTGTCTGCACCGTGGCTGGTCACCTCTACCCGCCTCTGGAAGAGCAAACCGTGAGCACCGACCCCAAGGCAAACAAGAAGAAGGACAAGGACAGAGAGAAGAAGTTCATCTGGAACCACGGCAGTGAGTAGAGGCTCGGCCCACGCCAGCACCCCGCGGCTGGGCAGGGTGCTCCTCGGGCCTGCCAGACCCAGCTCTCCCCTCACACCAGCTCCCTGACACGCACAATCTGTTTCCTCTGTTGCAGTTACTCTTCCCCTGAAAAATGTGAGGAAGAGACGATTCCGGAAAACAGCTAAGAAGAAGGTGAGTTGTTGTTCTCTCGTGCTGATAGAGGTGCATTTGCAGTAACAAAAGAGCGGAAAAGTGGAGGCATTAGAGCTCCAGCTGTCCATCGCTCTGGAAAAACGTGGAATTTCTTAACACTGCTTTACATGTTTCCTTGCCAGAAATGAGGGAGAAGGGAGACTAGTACCTTTGAACAATTCCTTGGTTGCTTCCTCCCTGTTTTCCAAGATGCCCCTGAGGTGAGGAAATTCCCTGGCAGAGGATGGGTAGACTCCTCTCCTGTGGTGGCCTTGCCACCCTATGTCCCTTCATGCCCATAGAGAAGAAAGGAGGAGTCACCTGCAAATGAGTCTTCACTCACTGCTGCTTTTCCAGCTGAAATCCCCATCACTTTCCCAGCAAGTAACCCTACAAATAGAATAACTGTCATTTCAGCTGGGGGAGTGGGAACAGATGGAGCTCGGAGACTGTCTCTGGGCAAATACACAAGCCAGGGAAGGTGTTGGGAAGATGCAGCGCCGTGAGGCCTGGAAGGCTTCAGTCTTCTTGCTTTGCAGTTTCTTTCTGAGAACACAATGCGTGACACTTGGGAAAAAAAATCACTGCAGAAATAGCCCACAAAAAAGAGGTGCTGTCACTCATTAAGATCCCTGGCTAATTTAAATGTGAAGAATGAAACCTTCTTTAGATGGAGATCGGAAGGACTTGAGTTGACGACTCTCCATCAGTGAGTTGCACCTTGAGCGTTTTCAGTGTACACGGAATGTCTGATTTCATAAGCAGTGTTGACGGCTGCCAGAGTGGAAGGAAGGTGACAATATGCAGCCCACTGTGGAGCTCTCTACAGAAAAAAAGATGAAGCTGTTTCTAGAGATGCAAAAATAGCTTCTTGGGTGGAGCATGAGTGAAGGCCAAGCAAAAGGAGAGGCTCAAAATAAGGCTTTGTCCAGCAGCGGAGGCTGGGAGCCGAGCAGCGTTCAGGAACCTGCACAAGGTATTTAACAGTGTCTCTGTTGCCTTTCTCCTCTCTGGTCCAGTACATTGAGTCTCCTGACGTGGAAAAAGAGGTGAAGCGTCTCCTGAGCACCGATGCTGAAGCCGTCAGTGTCCGTATCCTTTTAGGAGGAAAAAAATGCTCAAGGAGGGGGCAGTAGGTGTGATCTGGAGCTGTGCGAAGGAGAGACGAGTTTGGCTTTGCGTGTGGGTGTGAGAGATTGGGAGAGGCGCTCGCAAGTGGCACGGAGAGCAGAACTTGGGCTTGTTCAAAGCCTGTTTCTCCACGGTGACCTTCCTTGGGGACTCTGCGTGTGCTGATCTGGACTTAAGTAACAGCAGAGGACAGACCTTAGAGAGCCAACACCAGGGTGTCTCTGTATGGGTGTCCATAGCAAAACCTGGGGGGACAGTGACCTGCAGACTGTAGCTTTCCCTTGTACTCCATCTCCCACGATT